GGGGACAGGTCTGTCGCTGTATAACACTGGGGTACAGTACCGGTGGGGGACAGGTCTGCCGCTGTGTGACACTGTGGTCAAGTTTCGGTGGGGACAGGTCTGTTCCTGTATAACACTGGGGTACAGTACCGGTGGGGACAGGTCTGTCACTCTATAACACTGGGGTACAGTACCGGTGGGGACAGGTCTGTCACTGTATAACACTGGGGTACAGTACCGGTGGGGACAGGTCTGTCACTGTATAACATTGGGGTGTAGTACTGGTGGAACATGTCTGTCACTGTATAACACTGGGGTACAAAAGAGATCCCTCTATCGCTTTAACGCCCTGGTGCAGTGCACCCTTTCGGGTACAGGTCTGAGGCTTGCACTGGTTTCACACAGAGATGTACAAACTCTCACATTGCTGGAGACAATTCGTTGTGTGGTTACAGTCTGAATTAAGGGTCACAAAGAATCCAATGAGGAACTTTATCAACAGAACTCTTGTGTCCTCTCTCTACAGTTCTCCGGGATGATTTCAGACAGAACCCTTCCGATGTTATGGTGGCAGCGGGTGAGCCATCCGTCATGGAATGCCAACCTCCTCGTGGGCATCCAGAGCCAACCATTTCGTGGAAAAAGGACGGTGTCCAACTGGATGATAAGGATGAGAGAATTACGGTAATAGTGTGCCTGTAGTTAAAGTTTGTGTGAATATCTGTCTTTTAGCAAGACAATGGCTGGAGTTTGCAAAACAGACAGCGAGGGAAAGCTGGAGCCAAATATGGCCAAACCAGAAAGATTTCAACCCCTCGCCTGAACTACCCTGTGGAGTGCTGCGATGGTGAATGTGTAATCTTTCTTCCTGTTTGATGGGCTGATGGCTTTTGTCAGACATGGCCAGCCTTTGTTGCCCCATTCCTAACTGCCATTAAACTAAGGGTCATTTCAGGTGGCAGTTAAGAGTCAACCACATTGGGTTGGAGTCACATATAAGCCAGACTGGGTGAGGAGTGTCAGATTTCCCTCCCCAAAGGTCATTACTGAACCAGATGAATTCTACACTGATAGGGCATGGTTTCACAGATACTGTCACTGAAACAACAGCCTTCAAATACAGAAGAAAAAGAAATCAGTTGGTTAAATTGGATTTGGACCCATGTCAGCAGAACTCTGAGGAAGGGTCATTCGACCTAGAACATAGAAACATAGAACATAGAACAGTACAGCACAGTACAGGCCCTTCGGCCCACAATATTGTGCCAACCTATTACCCTACTAAGATCAATCTACCCTGCATACCCCACATTTTACTGTCCTCCATCTGCCTATCCAAGAGTCACTTAAAAGTCCCTGAAACTTTAACTCTGATTTCTCTTCACAGATGCTGCCAGACCTGCTGAGCTTTAACAGCAATTTCTATTTTGTCTTGAACGTCACCTCCTTGCTCTTGTACTGTATGCCCCTCGTAATAAAACATTGACTGCTCACTCCACCTGTCCTGCTACCTTCAATGACCATAGCTACACCCAGGTCCCTCTGCTCCTGCTTCCCCTTTAGAATTGTAACTCCTTATTTTACTTGTATTGCAGTCTTCTGCCTGATTACTAAGCCATTGACATCAACGCTATATCGCCATCTCTGCTATATGCTGTTTATGAGGTGGAACTCAGGCCCTACCATCACTGGAGCAGGTCATTGTTTGCTCTTTGAACTGTGAGTCTTCAGCTGTGACTCCATGGGTGTCGCTCATATCCCTGAGGCAGAAGGAAACTCCAGCCCCTCGACACTGAGCCCAGGCTCTGGGATGATATTCCCAATTCAAATCTGTGATGTTGTACTTTGGAGAAATATTATTCAGAACCCTGCAGGGCAACTGCTCTGGAATTGTGTCAGTGGATTTCATTTACACACCCCTAAGAGGGCTGAAGGAGCTCTGGATGAAGGCCTTATTGGGGAGGCAGGACCCCAACCCTCAACCCAATGTTAAACAAATGGCACATTTCTCAGTGCATACCTTGTTTTCAGATACATTGACAGGATGTGCGCATTACTGGCTAGGAATGCATTTATTACTCATCCTCAGTTGCCCAGAGGGTAGCTACATGTCAACCACATTGTCTGGAGTCTCATGTAGCCCAGACCAGGTAACTGTTGGCAGCTTTCCTTGCTCAGTGGCGTTTGGTGAACCAGATGGGCTTTTTCCCAACAATCAACAATAGTTTCCTGGTCACCATTAGACCCTTAACTCCAGATTGCTATCGAATACAAATTCCACTATCTGCCGTGTCTGGATTCAAACCCAAGCCCCCAGAATATTACCGAAGTCTCTGGGTTAAATAGTCCAGTAACAATACCACTCGGCCATTGCCTCTCTGACCTGTTCAGCGAGAGGTGATGTTGTGGGCAGTTAGAGTTTGCATTTGGCTAAGAGTTAGCGGTTGTTGAGGGGAGTAAAATTACAGAAGTCAGCAGCAACTTGAAAATAAGTCCATTCCAAAAATGTTCCCGAATTTGAAGCGTCAGTGGTGAGAAATGATTGGTGAGAAGTGAGGTGAAAGGCAAGGTGGGGTAAGGAGTGGTTTAGGATTTGATGCAGCTGATAGATTGTTGGATACAGATTCAATCTTACCCTTCAAAAGGGAGTTGGATAAGTACTCACAGGAGGAAAAGCTCCAGGGACATAGGGCACAGGTGGGAGATTAGACATAACTCAGTGGCTCATTGAAAGAACTGGCCCACATTTGATGGTCCAAGAGGCTTCCTACTGTGATGTATTGTTCTACAATTTCATGATGTATTTTCTCCTAACTTGCTTTCTGGCATTTGCCGATGCAACAGACACTGAACCTCTGAGCAGTTTATCAAATGTTGGATTGGGTACAGACATTTCCGAGAGCTCAATAAATTTGGTCTATCTTTCTGCAGCAAGTACAGAAATAAAGTCTGCCAGACATTTTGTCTTGAAGCTATAGTTTTGGTTAGTTGTATCTATAAATTCTGAAAGGGATGACTTTAACTTTTGACCCCCTGCCCCCAATCTCCCAGCCTTGCTGGAATGGTGCGCCAGGGTCAGACATGTGGGTGACTTTTAGACAATGGTTAATTGTGTTCTTAATCTCATGGTTTCACTACGTTCACTTCACTCAGCCAACACTATTCCATTGGTGAAAAACTGAGAATCTGCATTTCTATAGCATCTTTCAACACATTTTGAGGAGTAATCACTATCTCACTTAAATGTTCCTCTTTATTCTCTCATGGGCGTCATTGGTATGGCTAGTATTTCTTATCTAGCTTTTGCACTTTAAGTGAGTGGTTTAATAGACCTTTTCAGAGGGCAGTTAAGTTTTGCTGTGAGGGGATGGCCTAGTGGTATTATTGCTGGACTGTTAATCCAGAGACCCCAGTAATGTTCTGGGTTCAAATCCTGCTATGGCAGATGGTGGAATTTGAATTCAATAAATATCTGGAATTAAGAGTCTAATGATGCCCATGAATCCATTGTTGATTGTGTGGAAAAACCAATCTGGTTCACTAATGTCCTTCAAGGAAGGAAACTGCCATCTTTACCTGGTCTGGCCTACATGTAACTCCAGACCCACAGCAATGTGATTGACTCTCAACTGCCCGATGGGCAATAAATGCTAACGTAGCCAGAGATACCCACATTCTGTGAATGAACAAGAGAAGCCTGGAGTCACATTTAGACCAGATCAGATAAGGATGGCAGTTTTTATCCCTAAAGGACATGAGAGAACCAGATGGGTTTTTTTTTACGATGTTCAGTGATGATTTTGTGGCTAGCATTGCTGAGACTAGTTCTCAATTCCTGGTTTATCAATTGAATCTAAATTCCAGAAGCTGAGACTATGGGATATGAATGGGACATGGTGGGATATTTCCTGAGCCCCTGGATTATTTGACCAATGATATTACTGCTCCACCATGACAACCAAGTATGTGTACAGCATAAGCCCACAGGCAGTAATGTGATAATGACTAGATCATCTGTTTTTAATTTTGTTAATGAAATGTTTAAGTCAGAAATGCTATGACACCAGAGAGAACTTTCTCTGCCCCAGTGTTATGCAAAATCACAAGGGTCTGGACAGAATAGATAAGGAGAAACTGTTCTACTTGGTGACCAGCTCAAGAACCGGAGGAGACAGATTTTTGGTGATTAAGTGGTAAATCAGAGCACGACAACACTAGACCACAAGACCATAAGACATTGGATTGGAAAGAGGCCATTCAGCCCCTCAAGTTTTCTCCACCTTTCATTGAAGGAACAGCTGATCTGATAATCCTCAACCCCACTTTTCTTCCTTTTCCCCATAACCCTTGATTCCCTTATTGAATAAAAATCTATCTCAGCCTTGAATATACATAATGACCCAGACTTGAAAGGCAAAAATTCCACAGATTGACGACCCTCTGAGAGAAAAATTCCTCCTCATCTCTGTCTTAGCCTGCGACTCCATATTCTAAAATTACTTTTTCTGCTGCTAGGCTCTCCCATAGGGGAAAACAACTTTTCCACATCTACCCTGTCAAGGCCACTAAGAAGTCTATATAATTCAATAAGATTGCCTTTCATTCTTCTAAACTCCAGTGAGTACTAAATATCTCCTTATGAAACAGTCCCTCCATAACCATTCAGCCTAGTGAACCTTCTCTGGTCTTGCCTCTGATGCCAGTGTATCATTCCTTAGATCAGAGACCCAAAACTGTTCATTGTATTCCAGCTATGGTCTGACTAGTGACTTGTATAGATTTAGCAAACCCTCCTGACTCTAATATTCCATTCCCTTTGAAATAAACAACACTCCATTTGCCTTCCCTATCATCTGCTGAACTCGAATACTAGCCTTTTGTGAATCATGGATGAGGGCTCCCAAATCTCTCTGTTCTGTAGCTTTGTGCAGTCTTTCTCCATTTAAATAATATTCAATTCTTCTATTCCTCAGAGAATTTTGTTGGCTAATTATTAGGATCTAGAACGCACTGCTTGGGAGTATGGTAGAAGCAAATTTAGTTTTTAGAAGAGAATTAGATACAAATAGTTATTTTTGTGGTTTAGAACTTGAATATTGCTGAAATAGACAGATTTTCTTGAAGTTTTTCATTTTGCATTCATCTGGACTATTGACAAGAATACCAATGAATAGTGAAAACAACATTGATACTTTATATGAGGAGAGTACGTGTGTTTGGCAAGTGGACTGTGAGTGTTAGAGGTGTTGCCATGGAGAATACACCAGTTTGATGATGACTGACAGTTAACTACCAAGCTTTATTATGCTTTAATCAAAGCAGGCTGGCTCTGCTTGGTCGTGCCCTTTACATTGCTATTTCTTATGAGTTGTCTCAATGTGTACAAGATGAAAAGCTTCAACAAAATGTTTTTTTTTCCAGAATTTGATAATCATCTGAAGAGAGAAAAATCAGGGATAACAGAATATTTGAGACTAGGGAGTTGCTCTCGCAGAGAGCTAGCATGGACACAGGCTGAGTGGTCTTTCTCTGTGCTGTAACAATTCCATGAAGTAGTGCCATGGAATCTTTTCTAACCACATGAGAGAGGGCATGGGCCTTGAGTTAAAATCTCATCCAAAAAACAGCTCAACCTGAATTACCTCAACCCTAATTAT